AATAATAATAATAAGTTCCTTCCTTTTAGGGTCGATCTCCCTGATGTCTTCATTTACAAAAAGAATAGTTTGAGAACATTCTCAAATACAGAAAATGAACCAGCTTACAATGGCTTAATTAAAATACATCAAATCTAATACTTAAAATCAAGTATTATAATAACTGTCAATATTCGGCCCAATATAGTGCACTTTTTACAGGTGGAATCCATCAAATCCTGCACTAGGGGTAAACTAATAAAAAATGCACTATATTGGGCCAAATAGGCCAATTACTTTTCAACCCTGTTTGGATTTTGGATTGTAGCTACTAGTCAAATGTGGCAATTTTATTAAAGTCATGTATGGAGAGCTTAGTCACTTTCCAAATGGTGCCATTTCTTAGTTGCAGAAATTGGAAAAAAGAAAAAGTGAAAAGTCAAATAAATAGAGAGAGATACGTGAAGGCAAAAAAACAAAAGCTTCATGGTGATCATAATCTCCATGTAAAAGACAAAAGTTACAAACTGTGAACTCAATTCAGAATCCCCATTCAATATAGTAAATTTCTCTGTTTTCACCTAAGAAAACGAACTGGGAAATAAAGTTTTTTTAGAGTCATTTTTTTACCACCCATGACCTCAAACTTAAACCCCTTTTAATAGTTTATTTGGATTAGCAATTCAAATATTGTAGATAAATGATAAATTTCACTATTGATAATTACTGTTATATATTGGCAGTTCAAAAAAAAATTATTATTATTATGTATAATTGAAATTATTTTATTTGTATAATTAGATAAAATTATTAATTAGTAATATCAATTTACTATGTGTTTACACCTAAAATAAACCAATAGGGTAAGGCCACGTGTCAAGGTAAAGCTCAATTATCAAGAAAATCAATAGGCTGGATTTGGGTTGAGCTGGCTTACAATTTAACGGCTCAGACGGATTTCCAAGGAGGTTGGATCTTAGGTGGCAAAAGATAAGATTAGATCTGGTAGTTTGAGTTTGATTTAAAATGGGAAATTGAGGATTTTTAGGTAGTTATCCTTAAGGTTGTTAGAGATAAGGTTAAATAAAAATTAGATAACTGTCAAGTAACTGCCAGACCTGCAACCCCACTACCAGATCATGGAGGAACAGTACCGAAAATCATGGAGGGAGGGTGACAGCACCGAAGCAAAGAAAAACCAGAAGGAGAGATCAGTTACCGGCTGGCCCAACACACACACAGACTGCTCAGAACATGTTTTTCAGCTCTCAGACTGCATTTTCCAGATTTCAGCAATAATTTCCAAATTTTCCAGATTTTCCAGATTAGTTCATAGCCTTAGCCTAGGTTTGTTCATCTTTGTTCATATTTTCTCCCACAAATTCCAATTTAGATTAATTTTTAAACATTTGGAAGCAACTTAGCCTTCAAAACAGGTCTGCCCTTTTGATTCGGTTAGTTCTTTTTCCTTTTATGGATTTAGTTATGTTATTCGTTCATGTAAATAGGATGAATGTTTTCTACCTTTGTTCTTTTGTTTCTGCACAATATCCAGACATGTAGTTTGTTTAATTTCAATTTCCAGATTTAAATTTATAAGTTTCCAAACTTTGATCATTTCATAGTTTCTTCTTTAGTTTTAGTTATCATTATGAGCTGCGTAGTTGAAATCATTGTCTGTTATTTTACTTTTTCTGTTGTCTGCGAATTTAATCTTTATGGCATGTTATTTTCTGTTATTTACTTCATGTTAGTTTAATTGCTTTAAGATATTGCATTTAATTTAGGATTTGTAGCTTTTATTACACTTGTTTGGTTGTGAAGTCCTTGGAGGTTTCCAAGGCAATTAGTAACCCATTTTGCAGAACTCTACCCTCTGTTTTGCAACATCATCTGGGGCGCAATTCATTTCACAGACGTTC